CTCGTAGACATTTGAACCGTGATCGCGACATTTTTCAAAAAACTGACCCGTGTAGACGCATAAATTTTAGCTCAGGCTGAACTTTGCGTAGCTTTATCGCGACAATTATTGTTATCTTCAGCTTTATAGGTCATCAAAAATTTTATCCAGCTTCGCCCGAAACCAAAACGCTGTTTACAATCATTACGCCGACGAACTAGTAGCGGAAAACCCAAAAGAAAAATACCGTACTACAGAAAACTTTTAAAGGAAATTGTTTAGTAAACATTCGGTTCAGTTTTGTTAAATTATCAGTCAGACAAGCACCATGACGAGTATCGTTTCTATGGTGTTGAGTATGGTGATAGTAGCTTCAGCGGGAGCCATGGTTATTGACGAAAGGCACTATTATTTGACGAATACGGATTCGCAACAAAAGCTGCCGGCGGAGAATGGACCTTTGAACTACGAAATAATTTACTCTGAAAATGGTGTAGTGAAAGATGATGTGTTGTATTTCCCAAACGATGATCCGCAATACACAGAGGCGAGAAATGGAGCCAAAAGTGCAAAAGTGACGAATTCGAAGGGAAAATCGAATTGTGTAGGTTCTATAACGTTGATGGCCCTTTGTTATTAGTTTGGGAAAGTACGATTGTGAATCGAGGGTGTCTATGTGTTGTGAGAATAAGAATTTTAGCAAGTATTATTTATTTATTTCTGTTCACAAATCCTGTAAAAAAATTTAATTTAAGCATTCGTATGTGTAACCTTTTCTACTTAGTTTCATTGCAACAAAATGTTTATGTTTTGACCTGCATAAAAAGTCATATATTTCCTTCTTATTGTAAAAAAAACATGCCCTCCGTTCTAAAAAAAATTATAATCGATGTAAAAGTTCTAGTCCAGTTATAAAACTTAATTCGCTGATAAGATGCAGCAGAAAATTTATTAAATATAATTAAAAATATGTTAATTTACTTTGATACGTGGTTTTGATAATATATGTCTCTAACTATTGTCTCTCTTTTTCACTTCTAAGCCAACAGTACTTATAGAGTGCTTACAAATAGCACGAATTTCTACATTAGTTATAATAAATTACTTATTTAACCTGAGGAGCGCATTAAATAATTGTTTTTAGTCCCTTCTCTAAAATACCACATTTAAAACGTCAAGTTCATTAAATACTGTCAAGAACCAATTGAGAGCTTTCAATACTTAGTCACGGGCGAACAACTACCTGATGTTTGCGGTATATGTTTAAACCAGTTTTTTATATTTATCAGTTCTAATTGTTCTACATGTGTCCTGTATTCATCTCTTTACAGAATGTAAATTTGTTAGTGATTTATTTATTATTTTAATATTTTTATAAAACTTACATACCAAATATACTATTATGCCATTAAATAAAAAAATCAAGCAAAAAAGAGGTGACAATGTTTTACAGTTAAGCATCACAAATATAACTAAATAAATTAAAATAAATTTATACTATTATTAGAACAGTGCCACCAATCCAATTAAATGAACTCGCCTAAGCATTAGATACCATCACCGAACCAATTCACCATAATAAAAAAATTGATTAAATAAATTTTATTACTTTATAATTAGAGGAATTAAATACTCAACCACCTAACAAGTCACTGCCTTAAGACTCTCTATCTAATAATTTATACACCTAAGGTAAGAAAACATTCAATATCAAATTTACCTATTTGTCTTGACAAAATGGTGGATAGTATGCCTTTCAACAATACCAACGCTTTATTGTGTAACAGTCCCATGACAAAACAATCTTACATTGTAACAATCAGTTTTTGATAATAATAAGTGTAATAATAACAATAGTAATTGGTAATTACATAAAACAAGAAGACAGAATAAATGAAGAAGAATAACAAGAAAAAACAAAAATATTTAAGACAGGTATAAGACAATGCCAGACTGAGAAAAACAATAATTTGCACAGACTATTTGGGAATATATTATAATATATTTTCGAAGCACAAACTGGAGTTGAAGCTTCAAACTTTGAACTGAAAACTTTAAGCTTGTAGCTTTAAATTTTAGTCCCCCAAAGAAGTGGTGTAGGTGGTTAAGTGGGAATATAATAAATCATATTTGCGCCATTAATTATACGAAAAATACCAGAAACACATTGTTTTAAATATCCTTGAAACCGAGGAATCGCAAAATTGAAGAAGAAAGATTTTAGAATTATTGGAACTACTTTCTCCAGGAAATTGTGCAAAATTAAATAACATTCAAGGGACATAAATTACAAATTAAATTGCCAGCTTACGAAACTGATATTTATACACATTTCAAGAAATTTATGGCAATTTGGAAGGTTTAAAATTACTTTCGCTTCGTTTGGTTGAGAGTTCGTGTTTTAAAATTCCAGTTGCCAAATACTCGTGATTCGCTATAAAAAGAAAGTCCCGAATATAAGTAGCTTTCCAAAGCCCCGAGATTTCTTGTTTAAGTTTATCGAAGTACAATTTCCAACGTTTTAAAACGAATACTAAAAGAGTTTTAGCGTGATTTACATTGAGTTTAAGATAAATGACTAGGCCATTGACCCAGATCCAAAATCCCATGGCCATCGCCTATTAAATTATTTAAAGTTACTTAATCTCAATAAGAATGTGGAGATGAAGCTGTTTAAAGGAACGGCTAAAATAATATAAACATCATTACCTATGCGAAGGTCATTGTTGTTCTAATGTATAGTCAATGTAATCAAAAAATACTGCCATTGATTACAAGTAGATAGGCTCCAGAAACCTAGGAGCTTGAGAAATTTTGTAGAAAAAAGCGTTTTTTTTTTTGTGCCAAAAAACGTTTTTTTTTTTTCCTAAAAAGCGAATTACTTTTTTGTAAAATGATATAACCAAACAATTTCACTAACTATGATCCAGTGAAAACTTTGTATTTGAATATTTTCCTCACATGTAAAAAATGCTCAATTATACAATTTTGAGTTGAATTTTAATCCATTTTGATAAAGGTGCTAAAAAATAGTAGTCATTCTCGTCAGTGCGCAAAGTTAGTTTTCCCGCACTTAAAATCATTTAGAAGCGGATGGAACATGATACGAACATCTCTAAGAGCAAAAAAACTAGATTATAATTAAAATTTTTACTTTTTGTTTTCATCCATGGCCTTTGCTAAATAAACGTATTTGAATTTTTTGAATATATTGGGATTGAGCAACTCACAGTACAGATGTCGCGGTAGACGCCATTTTCTGGTTCATCATTACCGTTGTTTTGCATGAAGCTTAAATAGAGACCAATCATATAAACTACCTGGAATTGAACTTTTGAACTATGACAAAAAATCTTGATTTTAACCAATGATCTTGCGGCGTTCAATAGCCAACATGACCTGTGACAGATCGTCAATAAGTTGGAATGCTGCATTTTTAAGGCACCATTTTCTCAAAATCTGACTGGATCACCTGCGGCCCATGAGTTTTTATGCCACTATATTATCACTTTCCTATGCTCACTTGATAGATTTCAATAAAGTTCACAGATAAAAATCTGTTGCAAAATTAAATACGTAACTCATATAATAATTAAATTCGCACAATCATTCAATAAACGCCTTTCGCATATTTTTCGGGACTTCGTATTTTATATACTCTTTAAAAAATGACTGTTATAGTGTCTACCCACGCTATCCGAAGACAGTGAACAACTACGTAACGCATTTTTTCGACCCTGATAAAGAAATGCATTTAGATCAAGGTTTAATTATTTATCCGAAGTAGAACGCAGAGCAAGTATGTTTGAAAGTAAACAGGAAGATGCAATGAATCAAACAAATAAAAGAAATACTAGTTCTTTCGATGCTCGCAAAATACGGAAACAATATACTAATTTTTCAATTCTATTATAGAAATATAGGTTTTGTAAACTCATTAACAAGACAACGTAACACATAAACCGCGATTTGACAACGCTCTTCGCTGAAGTGGAAATGAAAAAATAAGTATAATTAACGTTGAGCAAATCACAAATTCTGAGCATTTAATTTCATTATTACATGATTCGTGGGAGAAGAATCGTGCCAGGTAATTAGTTCTAACCTTAAGGGTGAGCATTCCTAATCTTGATAACAGCAGCTGCGAAGTTGCAACCATCGCACACAAAAACCTGCTGCTTTTAATTTGATAAAGTGGTTGAAACAGCTATTCGAAATATTATACCGTATTCTCACTCAGCTCTAACATACGGAGAAAATAGCATTTCCAGGGCTGTAACCTTATTTACAATTGTAGCACACACAAATATATTTTGCATTTTTCTTTATTTAATGGTAGCCCATTCAAGTGACACCAGTTATTACTTCACTGGGGACAATGTTAAAATCGCTTCTGAGGTAATTAATTTAGAATTTTACAATTGTCATACATTATCTCCAGAACAATTCCATTCGACATGAAGTGTTTATTTTTGTTTTATTGAAAAAAAAACTTTCTAAATAAACATGGCGATTAATTTTTTTCCATATATAGGGGAAGTCCACTTCAATCTCCTCTACTCATTCGAAATTTGATTTCGAACAAAAAACAACGAAGTTTTTCACCATTCCAGAATAATCGAAATAATGCTTGTTCATCCTTAATGTTCTACTTGTCTTCATTATTCTTCCTCAAATAGATACGAATTTCCTAATAGAAGATATTAAGGACAACGAACATTTGAACCCCAAACATAGTTCAAACGATGTGCCATAATAGCCGAAAATTTGCCAAATTGACAAGAGCGAATAAACAAATTAGGTTGACCTAGTTCCCGAACTTTGCGAAAAGTAGAACGGAAACGCTTTGCAAAAATATTTTAATTTGCTTTTTGCGGGGTTAACATTGACTGCGAATCAAAACGCTTTAGAGAGCAAGGATACGCGCTAGACAGTCTGAGAGGCGTGGGGAACACTCAAGCGAGCATCTTAATTTTAATGACACTTGAGGATAGCCGACATAAAACAAAAAGAAATCTGTTGCCGAAGACATTTGATGTTCAGGCTGGGCCACAGAGTGAACCGTGAATTTAAAGTATACGTGCGTTACTACTCCTAAGTGCATTTAAGAATTATGTGCGCAGATAACAAATCGGATCATAGGTGAGGAAAGTTTGCACGAAAATCGTCCGTATCGATTAATTAATTTAGTAATCGGGTGCACTTCATTTAACTGCGCGTATAGGAATATATGCTATAATTAATTATCAATTGAAGATATTTCCATAATATGCAAATGTGGTAAATTTTTCCCACCACGAAACAATTTCTCTCGATAAAATAACCAGAGGAAAATTAATGCTTAATGCTTACATTTGTTCTGATAAGATTGTCCAGAATATCATTGGCTACATTTTTCTCAGAATTTCAATTTTAATTACTTTTGAAACTTTCTGATGAAATGAAAAGTTTTCACAACCTCATTTTTTCAATACTTCGGTATTAGTGCATGAATAACACGAGATGTTTCCTTTTTAGCACCGATGATGACAGCGAAATCTCCCACGAAGCTATGTCACATCAATATACGCCGCTGGGGTACAAACTGTACCGCAACAAAACTGTTTCACGTAAAAGGATCTTAGCACAGGTATTAATGAACTGTTGACAGCTGGTAAACTAATCTTCAGGGTTATTCGAGTTGAACCTGATATAATTTTGGTTATATTGGCTTTGGCAATGCATGTCTGGGAATAGTCTTCATATCGACAGTCCATTGTGATTTAAAAGTTAAAAACAAGAGCATTTTTTATTTAATTAAAAAAACAGATTAAATTTTAAAAAAAGTTTTTCTACTTTGGATTCAAAAGGTACATGGACAAAGAAATCGACAAAAATTATAGTGTAATAGACGACAGGATCACAGCAAAAAGTAAATGAAATCAATGTAGTTAGATACCGTGTGACTAAAAGGAATCGAAAACTTTTATACTTTTATATAATATTACTTAAATGGTCGAAACAAACAAACATAGGAAGAAGCTAAAATGAACTTCATGTTTGTTTTATTTACAGTAAACAGGAATTAAAGATATGAGAATACAATTTTCGTCATTCCATACATTAATAACTCAGCACAAGCAACAAATAGTGTTTAACTGACAGCATTAATGAGTATGGACGGCCTGGCGAGTTAATTCAAACTGATATCCGATTCTTTCATTCACAAAAGTAAAAATCATTGCAATTAAATACCCAACTTTCATATCAGTGGCTTTAGTCTTGACCGGAACACCACCTCTTATATGATAACTTCGATTTCAGACTCTTGTAACAGGAGCGACGATGCTGACATCGGCAGGGTGCGGTATGCCCGTCGGGTATTCAGCTATTTTACTTCCTCAACTTCAAAACAACAACGACAGCATGAATATAAATGACGAATTAGCTTCCTGGATCGGTGAGTATTACAATGGTGATAATAATATTGTCTTTATACTATCTAATAACCCGGTACTGTTATTACCCGATATTAGCAAAAACAAATTTTGTATCAATTCATAATCGAATTCTGTATGTCTGTGTAGAAATGGCCCAATAAATTAAACTTTTTATAATTCGCTTTTTTCGTAAGTTAGTTAATAACTAATATGAACATAAAAAACAAGTCGACAATAGATTTTTTTTCGTTTAGTTTCAAGAGTGAATCTTGATCTTTCATAGTAAAACTACTATTAAATCTATAGAAATTGCTTGCGAACCATCTACGTCTTATTTAGCCTGATATTATTTGGTGGCAAAAACCCGCTCAGAATATGTTTCTCCCAGCCAGTCACCTTCACTTGACGAAGAGACACATCGAAGCTTACTCAATTTTTGGTAAAATCCACTGCTATGTTGGATGCTTTTTCTCAAATTAACTTTCCGATATTCCGGACAGTATCACAAATTACGCAGAGACAGCTTCCTTTAATTTATAATTATTTAATAGCCCTTGACCTAGGATCCATCCATTGTACGTAACATAATATCAAGATCAATTTCGTCCGCACGAAGTGAATGTCCTCTCAACAGATTTTAATTGAAAACGGGGACGCTGCCTGTTCAATTGTGATATTAATCATAATAGTACGCAGTCATGTTTCAACCATGAAGTTGCAATAAATTGGAACGAAAATTTCATTTCAATGTTCATTCTTTGCCCAACATAACACAGGTTTTAAAAGAATCGGTCTATTTGATAGGAAACGTTCATTATACAGGACAATCTTTAATGTTCTATGGGCTTTTCTATATTCTATTTCAGATTTAGATTCTTTAGATTCCATATGGAATGTTCAAGTTTTATAAAAAAAAGGATACAGAGTCTACTAAACCGTAGGACGCTCAAGTTTTCCTAATGACAGGGGATTACACATCATATATTCACTTATTTTTGTGAAACACTCAAAAATATTATAAAGCGTTTCAACAGATGAGAATTATAGTTAAATAGGCGTGCCATTACAATACTGGCCCAAAAAGTACATTTCAATGAACTTACACCGTCAACATAGACTCAATAAAGCCTCTCTCTCTATAATCAGCAAAAGCAACACTTGGAAATAATAATAACTTAACCTTTATAGCAATCCTATGACCATGCTAATATGCTTCTATACCGTACCATAAAGTTTCGTTACCTCCAGTTGCAGCACTTTAAAATGATTGATTCCAGGCTGTTTACTTTAAGGGATGGAATTGCATCTTCCTAAGTAATGCACGACGTTGCTTGCACTCTACACCGCAGCCATTTTATGGGACGCTAATAAATCATATCAGAATACATTTGGATCCCGCCGCTGACATAAACAGCGATCGGCAAAATAAATACAAGCTTTACCGTGAATGTAAATTTAGGGGATTTGTAGTTGACAAGTATTCGCTTTAGAGCCAGCGTTTCGTCGGAAAATGAAAAACATATTGAAGTACAAATTTTCGGTTCGATTTGTGGATTTCTTGTTTAGCTATAATCGCCGAGAGTTTTAATTTGAAGACTTTGAGGTTATTATTCCATAATAAAAACGTCTGTTGCTTGGTTTTTATATACACTAGAAGATAATTTATTATTAATATATTTTGCTTCATATTAGAACATTAACACTAAATTGGTAATTTGTATTTAATTTATTTAATTATTATTATTAATTTGGTACTTGATTTATTTGGTACAAAATGTTTAGTCGTTCTTTCAAAAAATAATTTCGCTTTAAAAACAATTAGAAGTGTTTAAAAATTTCCATCTTAAACAAAAAAAAAGCAATCATATATTCAATATATAATGGAAACCACGTCGAACCGAAAAATCCATTTTTTACTTTCTAAACTTTAAAAAAAATCTGACGGACAGATGTTTTTCATACCATTTTGAATTATATCCACGTCTGCTGCACGGAGAGTTAAATGTCTCAGCTATGATAAAATCAGTGAAAGATGTAACTTTCACCTATATCGTTGAAAAGAGAAAAAATACTCTGTTCTATTAGTTCATACCGAACTACAATTTTAAAGTCTTGCCGTTCCATCAAAAAAAGTTTTTAACAATTTTTTAAGGTAATACCCTTGACACATTTTATCCAGTTGATCTTCTTTCAATGTCATCGAAACTTCGAGTACCCGTCAGGCGACATTGCCGGTCTAATGCAAGTGTAACATGAGGTGCAATAAATCCGCATGACCTTCCAATGCAATCTGTTTGGCATTGAGACGAGAAAGATTGATTGATGTTTTCGTTTATAATTCCGGCGCTGTTCTTTCTAATAAAGATTTAAAATATACAGTCAGTGTGCTAAAAGTCTCGTATAGCCTGTCAACTTTTCAACTAAAAAAGAAGATATGGCGGAACAAAAACCGGGCCTGACCGACACGGTCTACTACTGATGGACGTTAAAACTTTCGTGTAGAAATAAATGGTGAAGGGACGGATTGAAAAAAATTCGAAACTACTGAATGAGATCGGTACTTTTTCGGACTTTTTCTTGCGTTCCACTACACACACACACACACTACATCTAAACGAAAAAGTATAAACAATAGGCACCCCTAAAAGATATGCTGAAAAGCTTTAAACTTAATATCTAGCGTCACGTCAGTATCATTTTCCACGGATCCGAGCCACTTTGGACATTTCCGGGATATTACTGCACGGGTTTGGGATCAATAGGATTTATTCGGAGATTTTACCGCACGAATGAATTTTGACGATTGTCAATTCTGATGGTCATATCAGTGAATGTATTCGTGTATGTATTCATAAAGATTACATTATAACAGCTAAATCTAAAATAGATTCTTTATTTAGTTCTCTTAATATTATTAAAAAAAAAATCAAACCCCAAACACCTTTTTCTCAAAGAAAACTTTTTAATTTTTTTCAATTTTTTGTTATTGTACATAAAACGTTTAATTATTTAACAAAACAAAACTAACTACAAAAAAACGAAGAATTAGTGGCGAACATTTTTTGTATAAAAATAATTGAAAAAGAATAATACTAAATATAGCGTTCCCATATATGGCAAATATAGGTTGGTCCAGAATGTCCGCTAACCTAGACGTACATTTTGATATGTCTAGTGGCCAATATCATGGCGAAAATTTTTAAACAATCGACCTGAAGTTAGATGAAAAACTACAGCAAAATAAACAGTAGATGAGATTTACTCCAAACTGAATCGGAGTTCTGTATATTATTTTTATTTGTAAAACTACAAATAGCATAACATTACGGATGTCACTGATAAAAATTTTAAGAATATTTTGCACCCAGAAACGCAGTTTGATTCTAAAATAGATTTTAATAAAAAATCTAGAGTTTTAAGTATATGACAAAAAAACGTGTTTTTTCATTACTTCAAATATTATTGCTTTCATTTACTTTGGTTAATTTATTTGTAAAAGTAATATACAAAATTCAACAAATAGCAGTAGTCACGCATGAGTGGGTTTCCACCCAGTACACCTCCAAACTATCAGGTCAAAAATAGTTATTAATATTAGTAAACAACATCTGCTTTTAAAGTTCTATTAACTAATTAACATGGAACCAAGTTTAAAGAATTAATAAAAATTTTCGAAACAAATGGGAATATCAAGTCAGCAGCCTTGCTCGTTTTATTATATTTTTTTTTTTAGTAATTGAAAATAGAGCAAATAATATGCCTTTACACTTAGTGTAATTGATATTCTTTTCCCCATTTTAATTTCCTACAAATATTCCACGCTAAATATCTCTTGATTGGTATATAATAGTATATTATGCAACGGTAAACGGCATTTGACTCACCAGTTTATTTGACATGAGCGGAGCAAGTTTTTAATAAACGAGTGAGTTAAAAAGTTTACCGGACGAGTTACATACTATACTTTTTCTAGTTTTTGAATATATTGTCGCAAGACAACACAAATATATCACTGACATGACCGTCAGAATTGACAAACGTAAAAATTCAAAGCGTGCGAAATATCTCCGAAAACATCCGATCGCTCCCAAACACGTGCGGTAAAATCCCGGAAATATCCGAATTGGCTCGGATTCGTGGGAAACGAAACTGACGTGGTAAAGTGAGACATCCCGCACGCTGGATCACTAGGTAATTAAGTATTTTACAGACGGGAGTAGAAAAAAGTTATTCTTGTGCTTGTGAGAATTTAATTTTAAATTGAATTGACAATGAAATTCCGTCATTGCAATAAACTATATTAAATGCGCGACGTATATTTTCATCCCCATTCATCCCTATCGGAATAGTTGATAGCGAAAGAAATGGACAACGAAATCCATTTCCGGAAAGTCCATTGTGCAGGTCCGAATTTATCGGGAACATAAACTGAGAGCCGGCTGCGAACGCAATTTCTCGTATCCGGATTTCGAGTTTACGGGCAGCGGTGAAAGCTTAAACCTTTCGACGCTTGCGGTCATTGATTTTATATTTTGCCTAATTCTTTACTAAATTTATCTGCAAAATAATTCAACCCATAAATTATAACAAGGAATGTGTGTTTTTGTGTCGATAAATGTTATCAGTTTATTTCTTATAACTGTGCATGAATAAAAAAACAAAATGCAAATTTATGACTTTGCCGTACTTGTGGCAGAAATTTTATATATTATATGAACTTCATTAATTATGTGTGTCCAACCTGAAGTACCCATTTTCACATGTTGGATGGCACTGATTGCATAAGCATAAGAATTACATTTAATTATTTGTCCAGGAATTTAACGACAAAAGCAAAGAAAAGCAGTAAATAACTAAACTAAATGCTTAGGTAAATAAAGTGAATTAACCATTTTGTAGTGGGTTAGCGGTAATCGCTGGAAAGTAATTATCTTGAACAACGATTGTTGAAATAAAAAGTGATGGGTTAACGACAGTTATGCAAAACAGGAATCATTTACATGTTAATTTAAAGCAGACTAGTGCCAAACCACCTTTTTTTATCAGCCGCTACGAATACACACAAATCATTTCAGAATCAGTATTCGACTATCATCCAAAGGATGGCCAGTCATAGCTTATGGCACTGTAGGTATGAGTTCTGAATAAAACCTACTGTTGAAAATTTCAAATATCCTACACTCTGAATGTTTTGGTTATTTTGCACTAAAAAATCACCGCGACCGTCTCACTATAAAAAAGATACTTCCGGTAAACGGAAACAATATTTTCATGTACCAAGAGATGGATTCTTAAATATCGAATTATAAATAAAACACAACTGTTAATGAAAAACCAAGAAATATAATCCCAGGGCGAGGATAATTTAAATTCGAGAAAGCAATATATAGGGCATATATTACGCATAGACCTATAAAAATTCCAAAAAACGATAAGCGATTCAATAAGCCCCAAACCAAAGCTCCTTCAAATAAAAGCTTTCTATTCGAACTTGGTCATTTACCATTGATTTATAAAGATACAGATAACAAAAGAATATATTTCAAATTAGTATTAATAGTATATCATGCAACAAGTGCAGTAAACAGCATTTGACTGTTTGATTGTTTAATAAACGAGTGACCTATAGTATATTATGCAACAAGTGCGATAAACGGCATTTGACTCACGAGTTTATTTGACACCAGCGGAGCGAGTGTTTAATAAACGAGTGACTTAAAAAGTTTACCGAACGTGTTGCATACTATACTTTTTCCACGACCGTTAGTTCTTGGGTATATTTTCGCAAAACAACTCGAATACATTCATTAAAATGACCGTCAGAATGCACAATCGCCAAAATTTAAAGCATAGGACATATCTTCGATAAATATCCCGGAAATGTCCGAAGTAGCTCGGATTCGTGGGAATGAAACTCACGTGGCAAAGTGACGCTTCCAGCACGATAGATTCGTCTGTAATTATAGTATATTATGCAACAAGTGCGGTAAACGGCATTTGACTCACGAGTTTATTTGACACGAGCGGAGCGCAGCGGAGCGAGTTTTTAATAAACAAGTCGGTTAAAAAGGTTACCAAACGTGTTTCATACTATACTTTTTCTACGACTATTAGTTTTTGTGTACATTTTCGCAAAACAACACAAATACTGACATGACCGTCAGAATTGACAATCCGTGCGGTAAAATTCCGCAAATGTCCGAAATGGCTCGAATTCATGGGAAAAGAAACTGACGTGGTAAAGTGACGCTTCCCGTACGCTAAATCGGTGGGTAATTAGGTATTTTACAGACGGAAGTAGAAAGAAAAGTTTACCGAATGTGTTGCTATTTCTGCGACATTTAGTTTTTGGTTACATTTTCGCAGAACTAACAAACGTCAAAGTTCAAGGCGTGGGAAATATTTCCGAAAACATCCAATTGCTCCCAAACCCGTGCGTACTGGTTTAAATTGGATACTTCGGCGCTGCAACAATACCAACATTATCTTGTTTCATGTATCAACATCATTTCTGAGAAATTCGGAATATATTTGAATCAATCTATCATGTCACATTCATGATGAAACGTTATTTGCTTAAATATGTTGTCCGGAGAAACACAAGCAAAAGGGAAATTCAAAAAATTATGATATAATACATATGTGTTAGAACAGTAGAACTGCTTTGATTGATATTAAGAATAAAGTGAGTTTTGAAGCAACAGATATAAATTAAATTTAATAATATAAAATATTTCTGAAATTCAGTAATACCATTCGTTTCAGTTAACCTGATAAAAACAATTAGTTGTTGGTTAAAATTTGATTCAACAGACCGGCGCATTCACCGCAAATGTAATATAGTTTTTTTGCGCTATATTTTCACAAGAACAAATAATAAATTTAAAGTGTAACTAAATAAAAATTACAGATATGTAACAATAACTTTAATACACCGACATTTTTCACAGGCCAATTGAGTTTCGTTAGGTTAGATAATTAAAGCAAAGATTTGAATTTGAAAAACTTAATGTTTTGTTGAGCTCTGAAAATACGCACTTACGTTATTGAAAGGTAAAAAATGCATTTTTCCATGAGATGCTGCTCAGGTTAATTGCGACAATCAACTAACTTCGATTAATAATGACCTATTAATTCTTTCAGCCAGCGTTCATTCGGCGGCAACCCCATTCGGCTCCCTCGTCAGCGGCATGTTGATGGACCGCTGCGGCCGGAAACTGGTCCTTCAGTTTGCCTCTGTACCGCTCATACTAGGATGGATATTAATCGGTTTTGCGCAGAACCACACCTTTTTGTTGTTGGGACGAGCCGTAGCGGGATTGTCAGCAGGTCTCAGTGCCGCTGCTGGACAGGTAAATGTTATTTTCTATTCATTTTTATTTTATTCCCTTGGTTTTTTAAAAAAAATATATAAAGTAGCCTAACTAACTAAGAACGCTAATTTTTTTCTTGGGATTGTCATAATAGTCTTAATTTCTACGTAAATTTAGAAATGCTGAAAAATCTGAGTTTTCAAAAGCATTTTATTATGCATTTTGAATAAGGCAATAGCTAGCCTGGAATATATCCCCTATATTTATAGATATTTCCCCGTGTACAAAGACCCACTCACAATAATTACACCTGTTTAACATTTTGTTAAGTAAGTTATAGGATTTTCCGTTTAACAAGAAATAGTTTTCATCATTATTAAATTTGGGAAAAACCTATATATTTTTGTGGAAATGTGGAACTCTTAAACACATGTATTTTCTATTTAACTATTTCGTTTTCATTTTCTAGTTTACTTGCAAACGTAAATATTAAACTTTTTATACATAGAGATTTTTTTTTTAATATGAAATTAATGTATTTTTAAAAAATGGGATAAGTAGAGGTTATTTTATAACAAAAGTTACCCGATATTTTATGCAAATCTAAAATAACTGCTAAATTTGGATTCTGGATGGGGTATATGTGTTTTATAATAAAAGTTACTTAGATTTTTATGCATAATCCATATAATAGTATACTTTCCGATCTGTTATCGCTTTCCAATCATTTTCATTTTGCTTTTTGGAAATATAACTCCCATTACCAAAATATTAATAACTGCAAAGTTTGGATGCCAAGTAAGTTGAATATTTATGCATAATATACATCAACCTCCAATGAATTCATTTTATATAGAGAAGTCTGTATCACAGGTGTGTTTAAAAATTACAAATAAATCTAAAAATACATTCAAGTATATGTAGTATGATGACTTTTACTTATTGGGTAACGAGTTAGTAAATACCTTGTTAGATAGAATTATGAGAAAAGAGAAGAGTGATGTCATGGCTTTCTGTCGTATTTTTCAGCGTTGTACCGAATAGATTAAAAATTTTGTGAATATTGTAAATTTTGCTAATACCTTACATATGCTTCGGTGTCAGAAACCCCAATATTATTTATATTATTAGATTTTTTTAGCAATTTAAATGTGTTTGTTACTAAACCAATAAAAAACCATTTTGGACATTTTTTATTTGAAATTGTGACTATGTGAAAACAACGTTAGTCCTTAAAATATTAGACAGAAGTCTAAAAAATTTACTTTTATAAAGGAAAAAATATTTATTATGTACCGTTAATAAATATTTATGCCAATTAAAAATGTAACACGCGTTTTTATACTAGATTACACATAATGATGTGGCAATCGCAAGTTTTAAAGTCGAAAATTGTATCCGATTTTTCAATTAAACGCAAAATTCAAAAATGTATTTTTTTATTTTTAACATTTCCTGGAAAGCGAGGCGGTAATTAAAATTCCGAATTCCGCTGTGGTTTCCGGGAAGGAATAATTTAGTTTGGTTCTCGACGGGGAAAAATTTATTTTTGAGGTCAGAGAAAATACTTTTCTTTTGAACTGTGGTTGTAGTCATTTGGAATTTGTACTAATTTGGTGTTATCAATCATTCGTGCAACATGTGTGTTTACGGCTATTGCGCGATTAATATTAGTCTCACGTCACGTGTCACGTTAGGTAACAGTTAAAATGGGGTTCCTTAGCAACACATTCAATTATTTTGCTACCCTTAAAACTGTCGCGTTGAGATGTGCCAATAAAAAAAATACATAAAGCATCAGCTCGAGCTTTCATATAAAATAAAAACTTGAAATGCAAATCTAATCAATTTAATATCTACTATATCGATCATTTAAGAAATAATCTATAGGAAGTCCGAAAAACCTGGTAAAACAAATTCTTGAAAATATATTATGCGATAACTTTAATAATAATTGAATTATTTGGTTTAAAATAAATATACAATTTTAATTACTTATAATGCTTTTAAAATTCATATGTATTTATTGCATTTAATAAACTTCAAGATTTCATTCTCCTATGGAAGGCATTTTGAAGCTATTATGCATTAATATCAAAATAAATTGCTATGGCATCTCTAAAATTTCCAATATAAATGTGTGATATAATTGTTGACAAATAGAAAAATGGTAAATATTTAAAATTATTAATTAATAATGAATTATTAAAAATTCTTGTTTATTATTTTAAAGCGATTAGATATATAATATAAATATAAATAATAAATAATACAATATATACCGGAGTGCCAGTATCTCATTATCACAACTGGATAAGTTTCGGGAGAATTAATAGTGGGTAAAAGTGGGTAACTAGAAAAATAATTTATACAAGCATATGCAAGGAAACGGGGAAAATGTCCTTTTAACAAACTGAATGAAAACCAAATTATACAATTTTTTATTCATGTTTTTTTCTTCGGAAAAAAGCTTTACCTTCACGCCCCCCGGCTGTGGGATCGCTATCCCTCTCGATTTCTACGGCGTTTTCATAAATAAAAAAGCAAGAACTTTGCAATTTTCCCCTAACAAATACGAAAATTGCAGACAGTTATAAAACGGAACCTGCACGGCAATAGTGAATAACTGAACCATTATTGAAGGGTTTCTACTTTTATCTGTGTACATATCGACACAGGGTTAGTTAGTTAGGACAATTCAACCCTCCCACTGCAGAATTTGAATAAAAATTTTCCAGGAGAGTCAATTTTTACAAGACCTCGAGAATGCCTTAGCAATGTATCAAATCATAGAATATTGAAACAAACGACACTCGCTATTGAAAAATATAAAAAAATCAGGAAACTGGGTCATATGTTCTTTAGCTTAATGACCTCTACATAAATCGATTTATATTCTTTCTAAGAAAATGTAATATTTTTTTTGTTAAATGGTAGAGAGAAACGGTTTTACTTTCTAAACCCAGAGACATACGCTATTCTTTGAATTGCTATAAGCCAATGAAAACAACCGTAATTCGACTTTTTCTTAACTTGTGTGAAATGGCCCACTTTGCTCACACTTTTCAAATCGCTCCAGTAGCCAAAAGCATACTTTGCTCACATGTTTCAAAAATTGCTTAGATTTAGATAAAAACGGAGCTAACTCGGAGCGACTTTTCAAAATATCCGATAATTGAATTAAAAATGTAAATATTTGGGCAGACGCTTCGTTATAATTTTTGTTGTATTTTACTGTTGTATTTTACCTGCATTACCTGTTTCAAAAGGACAAAACTAATTCTTACGATTTTTATGATAAGCATCCTTTTGTTGGCATAAAATTTACACTTTTTAAATTTTGCATAATTCAGCTCTTCATTAGACAACTATCTTCACTGTTCCAGGTTGATAACATACTTTCAATTAGGTATAGACAAGAATAGATCAGTACAACTATTTTGTAGAAAGTGCGACCTTTATTAAATGAATAAAATAACATTAATATAAATAACACGAACGACACAAATAAATAAGAGTTTCCAGTCTGACAAATATAATACTGACATGGCAACTACACTTACAGGAACTTAATCATTTCTCACTGCATTACAATAAAACTTAAAGGCTAACACGCTTTTCTGTATTCGATACTCGAACTAGAGTCGCTTTTGAAGCTAGAAAAGAGCTTAGCTCTATAGACAAGTTTGGGAGCATTACTTTAAATTGCGTGTCCGATACGAAACTAGAGTGAGCCAAAAGCTTCTCCGCCGATCTGCTTTTGGTAAAATTTGATGCTAGCGACGCAGTATTTGGAGCGCCACATATGATCTCCGAGCTATTTTTGCTGCTCCTGATGACTTGACCGTTGTTACCAATATATGTGATGGCATCGTCTCTGCATTGTTCATCTATGGTTATCTTGCCGTTGTTTCCCACATAGTCTATCAGCCCCTTGCACTCATTCACTTTGACTCTACAGTTATTGCCCACCACCTTTACTGAGCCCCTATTGTCCGCCACTTGGATGACGCAGTTATTACCAGTCACTAGAATGTTGCCGCTGTTCTGCAAGAACGTCAGCTTAAGGTTGTTTCCGATATATTTCTTGTCTTCGCTGTTGTCCAAATGTCTCTTATCGATAGGTATGACCATTTTGCTAAAACGGCTAGCAAGCTTTGCGGCACCACGTAACGTTCGTTGCGATCGAAGTAAACCTTCTGATTTCTAAAAAGGAGCGTGGCCATGTTAAATACGTGACGGGGGAGGTACCACGGTTATTCACAGTCGACTCGAATCGGTTGGTGGGATCGTTTTTTCAACTGTTGACGAAACAATAGTAGCACGCGCCAAGTCGGAACGCCGGCTCATTTTATCCGAATGGGGAATCACTTCGCGCAAGCTGTACGTTTAGTTACGCTTGTCGTCGAATTAATTAGTCACTAGAGCATGGTCGGCTGGGGGATTTCTTTGACGAAATATATGTATAAAGAAACGGAACCAAGTTCTCAGCAAACAACGACTAGTCACACTCGTTTTAATTTCGGCAACACAGATATTGAAATTTTTGGAAGAAAACAAGACCGGAGTCGCTACTCAGTTAAATCTCTTTTGGTCGTTGACAAACCGGTTAGATTGCGGGTGGGCAAAAAGTGTTGACCCAATGGACATTTTGGACCTAAGGGACATTTTTCAGCAGTAGACCGGAAGTAAACAATTTCCAACCGTATTCAGTTTTTATATAAATATTAACCCTTTGCAACTAAAATATTATCAAATTTAAAGTCATTTTGGTTGCAATAAAAAATTGACTTCTCTTTACTTTAAGCTAATTTATAGGGTGTATAAGTTTATAAACATTTATTAATGGTTGTAATTAATGTACAACTGCGGGTACATTTATTTTATGTATTCTTTAAGCTAGTTCTTGAAGTATTCAATTTTCATTTATTATTATTCTTTTAGTTTATTGCGAATTTATAATATAGCAGCACTAACCTCGCAATAGGAAATTGTTGTTCCTAATTCTATAGAAATGGTTCTTTCAAAATCAACATAAAGCTTGCTACTGTTTTAACTTTCCTAATTAAATATGGAGAATTTAAGTTTTTTTGAAGCAAGAAAAACGCTACTGATGTTTGCAAAAATTTGAAACTGTTATAAATTATCAGAATAATAATGGTAAAATTTTAGTCAAGTTTAAGTTGGCACATTTTTTTTTGAATTATAATTACTGTCTTGGTTTTTTTGCAAAAAAATTGAGATACTGAGAACAATTTCCATAATTGTTCTATTATGGTCTATAAATCACACATTTGAAAGAAACCGTGTTCGGTTTGTGAGCTTTAACTTGCTATTTACTATCATTCTGGTGTACAATGTGACTACTTTTTTAAAATCTGGACTAGGATATTTTGGATATTTTTCATCGTTCATATATTTTTTTTCAGATTTCATTTATTTTAGTTCTTGTTGAACCTAAGGAATTGGCTCGATGAATTTCATAAGTTCATTCTAAAAATTATATACATAGTAGGTCACAATGAGCTGTCATTTATAAGAAAAATTGGTTTTAAAGGTTACAATGTAAAGGTTTCTGAAAACATTATTCTTATTAATTTCGCTGGACACAACAACCCTCATACAACATATTAATTATTCATTTCATTAAGTATATTACTGCTTTTTAAAAACTAGTAAGTAATAATAAACAAATTCTAGGCAGGGCGACTATTACTATGGAATACATCAATACATCCTAAGGAATAAAATTAAATGCTCAAAATTAATTATCAAAACACGAGTAGGTAGAATTTATTGTGCGTCGGTGTATTTTGCTTGCAAATACTAATCGACAGTGACCATGGCCAAGTGCTCCCGACCGTATTGCCGCATTGTTTGATCGATAAATTACTATTATTAGTAGAATTAGAATTGAAAGTGAAAATTCGCAAAAGTTTTGGTTATAATTTACGCACTTAATAAAAAATACCGCCATCCAATTCGTGATATGACCAATAACATTTTTTAAAATCAAGGTTTGTTGCTGTTATATTGCTAATATAATTTGGGATCCCGTTAAATATCAAAATTCGTCCCGCTCACCTAATTATTTTGTAGGGTAATTAAATTAATTGATTAATTTGATTTCAAGTCATTTCACACGCAGTAATTAATTAGAAGTATTTGATGCTGTTATGCAGTATTCTATGTATCGCAGAACGAAGTTATAACAGTTTGTTGTGCATTTCAAAGTTTTATACACCATGAGTCGATAAATATATCCGTATTGTGTTTATTTTGCTGTTTCAGTTTCCGAAATGCTTGAAGTATTTCGCCAAATTTTAATCGTAGTATTATCCTTGAAGTTAATGTTTTGTTATTTACATTGAACATTAATGATATACTTTTTTGTTGGCATCCTTTTATTATAAGCAAAAAACATATTTTTTGCGATTCATTACCATTTAATTTGAGGACTTCGCTTGAAGTGTACTTTTTACATTACATTCAAAATTTTTACTGCTTCATTAATTAAACCTAGCAGTATTAGGCAAATTTTTTACTAACCAAAGAATGTGTTAGGGCGTCTGTGTTCAATAACATCCTCGTGCATGCAATACCATTCCAAGAAAACCAGAAAATACGAAAATACCTTTCGAACACTTACAAAAAATGTAGCCGAGAGCGTTTAAAACTTTTCCCTACGTGACAATTACAAATAGTATATATTTTGCATTGGCAAGTCGTGGTTTATGCGTTACGTTTCAGCTATCTGCCAATTTGTAAAAATATTTTCAAATGAAATTCATAATCCAATAGCGTTGGTTGTTGATACTTGTATTTGTTAAAAGTAGAATTTGAATTGATCTGAATTTAATACTTCATTCAGATAAGTGGATGAAACACATCTTTAGATGCAAAAACCATAATAATTTGGCTTATTGTGTGCAATGCGTTCGATAAATAATTAAAAAGTACATTTCTCCGGTGTAAAAATATTAGTCCATTCTATAAAAATTAACAAGTTACCGGCAATCAAAGTTATTATTAAATTAGAATAAACTTTTTTTGAATAATAAAAACACACTTTTTTTTCTAAAATTTGCTAATATTCGAAACAATAAAATTAAGTCACCTTTTGACAAAAAATCCAAGATCTGGAGGCACAGAAGTTATTTAAACATACTTTTATTTTGATGGAACAATTCAAACAATACATGGAGGAGATTTTATTTCAAAAATGATAAATATAAAGGCACGTATTTTCCTCACAATTTCCAAATTAATTTTTGTTTGCAGGGGCAATTAAAACAAAAGCATCGATAATATTTCAACAGCCGTCAGTGCCATTCATAAATTAATGCAATTAGTTTATCAATAACACCGACGTATTGAGATAAAATAAAAATCCCCATCGAATACGCAGGTTGCCTAAATTAAAATTGCGAATTAACATGTAACCTTGAACAAATCGATAGCATTTATCTACTCGTAAATAGTTGATAAATCGCGAATTACTTTTCACGAACAATAATTTCATTCCATTTAATTTTTCTATTCGAATTTATACTTACTGTTATATACACCAACGTCATATCTCGCTTTGTTTAAACAAGTTAGAATTGTTGTTTGCTCGCCATGTAGTTGGTGAAATTGAAAACAATGAAAAATACAATGCTAATTTTTAAAAAATATGGTACTGCTTAATATATCTCATTTAAAACATGTAAAACTTAGTTTTGAAACTTTTGAAATGGAGATCGTCTTTTTTAATTTTGCCTAATTACACACCGATCTAGCGTGCGGGAAGCGCCACTTTACTACGTCAGTTTTGTTTCCCACGGAAGCGAGGTACTTCGGACATTTCCGGGATTTTACCGCACGGGTTTGGGAGCAATCGGAAGTTTTCGGATATATTTCCCTAAAACTAACTCTCGTAGAAAAAGTATAGTATGCAACACGTTCGGTAAACTTTTTAAGTAACTCGTGAGTCAAATACAGTTTACTGCACTTGTTCCATAATATACTATTTCCATGTTTTCTTTTTTTTTCTTGGCAAGAAAATCAATTGACTATTGACTGGCGCTATATAACAAACCAAAAACTGTCTAAAACATGAAAAAATGCACATTTCACGGACACGTATCCAATCAAAGCGGCCGCTGTGCGAAAATAAATCCAAGAAATAAAATTAAAAATGCTTAGTTGTAAATAAGATTGTTTTTCAGGTGTTAATAGGAGAAATTACAGAGCCCCATCTCAGAGGAATGCTGTCGAGCGGCCCCTTTGTGAGCTACTCGTTCGGAATTTTATTGGTTTACGCTCTAGGGTCTATACTTCCTTGGCGATACGTGGCTGGTGAGTTTATTACTGTTTATTACTGTTTTAGACTTAAATTTTAATAGAACGATATTGGTACATTAATGTTTGTTAAATATATTTATATCTCCGACATTGAGGCGAGTATGGCCCGAAAATATAACCAAAGTTTATGGTCATGGTGGTGGAAATTTGTTCAATATTGTCAGCGGTGAGGCCGAAATACCCAGTTGGAAACATTAGTTGGTTACTGCCTTTCCTGTAATATACAGTTTTACTATTATGTTCACGTTTGGACAGCCTTTCTGTCTGGTTTAAAGATTTTTGACAAGAAAAATACTGGGCCTTAATAATATGAAATTATAAATCAGAAACACTCAATTTAAATTTTATTTTGCAACACGCACATGCACACGTTAATACGTGATGTATTTGTTGCAAGGATATTTTTCAAAAGTTTGCATTTTAGAAATGAAAATTAGTTTTGATTTTTGAATAGCACACCCGGTGTTTTCTACATTTTGGATTCAACAGTTTCTTTTACGATAGAGCCGTTTCCTCCTATTAGTTTATTATATTTAACACTAACCTGCAAACATCCTCTAAAATAATGATAATAATTAAATAATCAATAATAATTAAAATATTTAATTAGTGGAAAATAATATACTGCATCAAAATTGTTAAAAAAATATCAGATATGCTTTATAAAGTTCAAAAGTTACCGTGAAACCTTAAATTGATTCACTGCATATTGCCGAAACAAATTTAGTCTATATTAAACCCCAATCAAATAGCTATCTGGAACGGCATTCACTTACTTAAAAGTGGCAATGCAATAATAAAAACTCCATCCCTTGATGTCTTGATGTTTAATATGGACGTCATCGTATGTAAAATATTCATCTATATTAGCACTGGTAGTGTTCCGTGTATTATGTATTATATTTAGTAATAAGATTGCGGGCTTGAAATGTTTAAGGCGCAATTAATTTGCCACAGTCATAATACTTATGTCTCTGCTTTGAAATATAGTCTCTACGGCGAACGTGACTCCTTTCAAACATCCCATAAAGCATTGTTTCGAATAAAAACCGCAATCGACCGGTACGAGCTGGCAAATAAACCGCATAACACAGGATGCATATAATTTAATATGTGTTATAGACCATAATATAAAATTCTACACTTCGAAATTTTATTGTCTCAATTGTTTCCTGGGACGGACATTAAAATTATATTACAGTCGTAACCAGCATAATCAGAGATTAACAACTTGCGGTATAAACTATTTTAAAACAGTAGTGCGGTGATATAATGTCAGATCTGCAAGTTCATTTGCTAAATTTCTAAATATTGCTTAGCCTCCTTAGAGTGCAGAGCGAATCTCCGAATAGTAAAATTGTTTTAATCATATAGTTCAATATGAATAGGTTGAAGAATCTGGCTAAGTCTGTTTCTTACAATTTACTTTCTTAAAGAGTGAAGACATGTCTATAACAAAATTATCAAAACTGATCATTTAAGTGGTCCATCAAGGGCGGACCGAGCCTTTTAAGAGTCCGTCTGATCTCCTATAAATTTTCGTAAATTGTTTAAATTATATGTATAAAAAAAATTAAATCCTTTGAAATTAGCCCCTCACTACCGTCAATTTATCAACACGCATGAATATTGTTTTGTTATGAGTGAGTTATTCAGATCATTTTAATAAGCATTAACTTTTATTTGTCAATAGGTTGCGTCCACTATTGTTTTTAGTACTATTTATTGTTCACACCAGTAAAAACGGTTTCGAGAGAGAGCGTGACACGTTCATGAAACAAAGAATTATTAACTGTCAAATAAGAAGTTACATTGGTTGCATTGGTTTATAAAAATAAATTAAGCCATAAATCACTATATAACATCCAGATTCATCTAATTTTTCAAAGAAACTTCGACAGCCTACTGTAATACTTTTTACAAAACTTCTGGATTTCTCCTGCATCGGTTTTTGCTGAGTCGAATTTGCAAAAACCGGCGATAATTTGAAAAATATCATACTAGAACATCCTTTAAGTAAAAGATTTCTATGGTGGTATAGATACGTGGATGATGTCTTTGCTTGCGGACAGACAATTGAATTCTTTTTTAAATTATATTAACTCATTACATAATCGTACAAAATTCACTATCGAGATTGAACAGGATAACTCTATTAAAAACAAATTAGATTTTTCCATTTACCATAAACCGTCACACACGGGCACAGTCATACATAACAGCTCAAATCACTCTTATACACACAAAATGGCTGCATTTCACTTTTTATACACAGACTTCTTAATACGCCACTCTCAACAGAAAATTACAACAAAGAATTTGATATCATTAAACAAATTGCATTCAACAACGGCTACAATCCGTCCATTATAAATAAAATTATAAATAAAACACATATCTAGACAATAGTAAACTTTATTTATCCGAAACCTAATGCAGAACACGAACAATTTAAATTAATTACAATTACAATTAGGAGAACCCGGTGAAAAAGTTTCAAAACATTTATCAAAATGTGGTTTAAAAATAGCTTTCAGAACTAACAACACAATATCTTGTCCTAAAATTTATATTGGACAGACAGGAAGATCCTTCAAGAAACGCATTAACGAATGTAAAAGAGCGTTTAAAAACAATAATCCAGATTCCAATTATGCTACACCCTTAAACACAGAAAAACACAATTTTGAGGAAGCGATGGAGATTAACAAAATGAGACATTCAAATGTATTAACGATCAATTAATTTTAAATACCTCTCCTTTATTGAACTTAAATTTTCACAACAACATTAATTAAGGTTTTAGTGTCATTTTTCGGTGTCATATAGTAGCAGGTAGTTTGTAAATATTACATTTGATAAAGACACGGTGTTGTCGAAATAATTGTCTGAAAGTCTGAACTTTTAGTTCTTATTTATTTTGAAAGAAAGAAAGAAAAGTTGGGCTATGTTCCATATGTGTTCTTTACATTGAACAAATAAATTATAGTTGTTCATTGTTAATTTTATATTATAAACTCATCATTAACCATTTGTTCACCTCAACAATAAAATTTTAAAAAATAAAATATTAGCATCAGATTCCAAGCAATTTTTTCATTAATTCTGAAAATAAAAAGGAATTGGACTGCAACGCAGATGGTCATCAAGAAATGGATAGCGAAAAACGAAACTAGTATGGGGTTTGTTAGGTAGTAAAACTAAGAAAAGTTTAAAGAAGAATAACGCCTTTCATATTAGATTGGTATAGGTACCATAAATTACGATGGCCATTTCATTGGGCAGTCCGCTCCGGCAGTCAATGATAACACAAGTGCCGTTAAAGTCTCAAATTTTTTGTTTATTATTATATATTATATTTATGTCGCTTAAACTTATCTTGTCTTTACGTTTTCAAGGTTCAGAACAAGGTTGTTAACGCTTTACGATCAAAAGGAATATTAAACCATAACAAATTGAAGTACTTCTGGTACTGCTCTACTCTTTATTTTTAAAGTATTTCTGTGAAAACAGGTTTTAAGTTTGAAAATAACCTGACATGATCGACTATTACCATTTCCAATTTAACTAATTAAATCGATGCATATATCTTAATGATGAACATTATGCTGTTTACAAAATTTCTGGATTTCCTCCTGCATCGGCTGTTGATAAACCGAAAGTGCTGACTTTTCGCCCATCATGTTTCTTTGAAAAGAAAAATCAGGACATTATGCGCATAGAGCTTCTGAGAAAAATATGCCAAACAATAAGTGGAAGAATTTAATTTAATTTATTACTTGATGGCTGTTAGACAGTCAACAAATAAATGAAATCATGTTAATATTTTCGTACAATTTAGTACAACAAAATAAAATGCATCTACAATTGACCTTCCTGTGCGCAATGCGTTAGAGGTTGCTCGCACATTCTCCGAATATAATGTGGTCGTTATTCGGAATTGTTTCATGGGCATTTCTTGTTCGCAGGGTTGAGTACGATATTGCCATTTACGGCCATACTCGTATTTCTTTTTCTGCCTGAAAGTCCTGTGTGGTTGGTGAGGCATAACAAGATTGAAAAAGCAGGAGAAGCTTTAACTTGGCTGCGGGGAGGCAATCACCTTCAGGTAAATAGATAAACTTAATTAATTGTTTTCCATTAGCGTACTTAACATCCTCATACTTCATTAAATATTACATGATTAACTCAAATAGAACCTAAAAAGCTGGTTGTCAATTTTCCGGTAAATGTGATTATAAATAGTTTTGGTGGGTTTACTTAAACAATATGTAGTCTTTCATAAATATCTCATTTTCTAGACGGATGTTTAAATTTTCCAGTGGAATTTATGGTAGTGAGGCAGCAGCAAAAAATGCGACCCACCGACTTTTTTTAAATTTATTATATTATTTTATGGATTAAGAAACCATATATAGAGAGAATCTTTTTTGTCCTTTTTTTTCGTATCTAGTTGTGTTAGTTTTTATTTTTCGTTTTTGTAAATTTAAAATTCCCACACCCCAAATATTTTTTGATTTTTGAATTCCCTTTCTAATTTCCTTTATTACTCGGTTTAAGAAAGGCCTCATGGTCATTTATTAAACTAGAATCTAAGTATACATATATTTAATGTTTCCTGAAAATTAAGTAATAGACGGCACAGAGGTGGCACTAAATCTAAATCTCTGTTATAAAGAACCTCAATACAATATCAAAACGGTTCAAAATAAAGAATTTATAATTATAAGGGTATATATAAAATTATATAGGTTAAACTTTTCAATTTACTTCTAGTTTTATTTGAGGCATGTTAGATATACACTACCATTTTCATTCATTTAACGCTGTCATATTCCCCGCAGGCAAAAGAAGAAACGGACCATTTGGTACAGCGACTCCAACAAGAAACGGAAACCAAAACTTCCCTAAAAGCTTTGCTAAAGCCGCAAGTGCTAAAACCGCTTCTCATAATAAATCTCTTCAACATCCTTCAAATCCTTTCGGGTACATATTTGATAGTATTCTACGCGGTAGACATATTGAGTCATCTAAATGGTGAAAGCTTTGACCATTTTCTTGCCGCATCGCTCACGGCCTGTGTTCGTTTTCTCTTCACCATTATTTCCACTTTGCTACTAGGCGTGGTGGGACGACGCACCCTTTCACTGACATCGGGAATCGGAACTTCGCTTTCAGCCTTATGCCTGGGTGTTGTTCTCCATCAGAGTTGTAAAGAAAACAACCTCCTAATGGCGCTCTTCGTTCTGTTCTATGTGGCATCCAACACGATAGGATTTTTTGTGTTGCCAGGAGTAATGTTGGGGGAGTTATTTCCCGCGAAAGTCAGAGGTCATGCGGGAGGTTTTACCTTCATGATCTTCAATTTCGTTCTCTTCGGCGTAGCAAAAATATTTCCTTTTGTTAAAAGCACGATCGGCATATCTGGGGTATTCTGGACCTTTGGCGCATCGTCCCTTCTCGCCAGCCTCTTCCTGTATTTGATGCTGCCCGAAACGAAGGGCAAGTCACTAAGTTATATCGAGGATTACTTCCAGCAGAACAACTTAATCTGGATAAGAAGGGACAAAAACTGGGAAAATAAATTTTTCAACCGTAACGAGACTGAAAGGCTGAACGTTTAGGACTTATTTATTTCGTTTTGTAATATTAAGTTAAAATGGCTGTTATTGTTTAGGGTATAAGGTAATTTATGTTGTTTTGTAATAATTATTAATAAAAAATTTCGAATGCGGATTGAGAATGATATTTCTTTCATTAAAGAGAAAATCGAAGAGAAACAACGAATTAACAAAACTAAACAAAATTCGCTCGCATAAAGAAACTAATTGAGGGCCTTTTCCCACAAGGAATTGAAATTATAATAATATAATAGAATAATATTTCTTTCATTAAAAAAAAAAATTGGAGACAAACAGCAAATTTAACAAAACTAAACAAAATTCACTCTCAGTTATGTATATAAATTATTAATCCATCCATAGAGCTTTAAAAAAGTGCTGAATTTGTTAAAACAGCCTTTTCCTGCAAGAAATTATAAAGGTTTTCTCACAACTGATCGACGAAATCTCTGGTGTTACGGCCTATATACAAATAAAGTGCCTTAGCTTTTAGTTTATAGGTTCTAACTGCTTACCCTGTATTTTTTTAATATTTCTTAATAGAAAAGAATTTTTGTAAATACTCTATAGCATTTTTTTAAATAACAAAATATCTTTTATTTCTAATTTTTAACATTTTTAATATTTTAGTACTATAAAGTTATCAAACACGGCGTGAAATAATAACTTAAAGAATAAAATTGAGTATTTTAATTCTATAGCTTCTCTTTAATGTTTATAAGATGAAATAATATTTATTTTGACTAAAACATCTTAACCCAAGGTAGAAAAATGAAAATCTATTTAAGTTTTTGCACATTTACACAAGTACTATTTTATTTATAAATGTGTAATTCATATTGTTTTGAAAATATTTGTTATTTAAAACATACAACGAAAGTAAAAGCGAACCAGACAAACACGCGGTAGTTATTCTGACAATGATTCGAACACTTCAATTTGAAAAAAAGACAAGTAATCATGAGCATAGCCGCTTCAGTTACGGTAAGTTGTTTTCTTATGAATATCACAGAGAAATTGAAAATACAAGCTACTATTGGAAACATGCGATTGCCCGTCTTAAAGTAGAACTACTAAAAAAACGAAATATCGTGCAAGATACTAATTCAAATTACTTTTATTAGAAGATTTTTTTGATATGTGAACATGGGTGAACGGTTGGCGACTCAAAGTAAAAGTTGGGACACGCCAGTCTTCTAATACATTTTTACCTTATTGACAGTAGAATTGATATTTGATATTTAAATAAAATCAATTGTCACTTAAACATTTATATTTCGTTTTTTAATAAGTATTTATAAATGAATGAAAGTGAAGAAACTATCAGCTAAAATCGGTTTCAATCTCTTCAAGGCGCCTACCCTAAATAAAAAATGATTCTGAATTAGTCATTTATAGTTATAAGCTCATAAGAAATCGTAATTTATTTAGTAAGTTACGCAGAATTGTGGTTTAATCGGGGGGTGGGGAGTCAGTTAGAATACGGCGGCGCCTCTAGCGTTAATTGTAGAAACCTCAATTAAAAGACCAGTTTTTCACCCATTTTTTTCAAGAGCGCCATTTGTTTCGTTCCTTTTGACCGACCATAGCTCCGCAATCAATTAGTTTAAATTGTTCATAGAGTTGATTTTGCCATTGTTTAACCAGCTTTTAATTCAATTGGCAATCATTTTTAAGTGGCAAATTAAGGTAGTCGGAATTAAAAAACGTCAGCCGGATATACCGTTCAGTGCTGTTCATTATTTTTTCTCCTAACTTGAGCTCATATGATTAATTTTGAAAAAAAAAACATCATGATATCCATGATGAAAGAGATAGATGTTCTAAAAAGTCAATTCTATTACACGATCGATCAGGCAGAAATGTATTATTTTCTCGGAGATTATATCATCCCAATAATAAAAGAAGAAAACACCATATCAATTTGTAACAAATACCACAAAAAAGGGGCGATTGCTTTCGTAACCGATTCGGTGGAAATTGAGGTCGTCACAATAGAGAAGCGGTTTCCGGATTTTGATAAAGTTGTCGATCCGCCAATATCACGGAATGGAAAATAAAATGGTGACAAATGGAAAATGATATTGGAAATAACGTCAAACCGAATGGAAAACAATTTGAAAATGTTTTTGACACAAAATTGTCATCTAAGAGTTCTCCGATTGGTACCGGTTTAATAGACTTCCTGAATTGTTTTTGCGATCTGTAGTAAAGGATGACACATCCAAATCGAGACCAGTTAATATTATAAAAATAACATGCTATGATATGGTTGGAATATCTGCAAAATTATAGAATTGATCAAAGGTGCCTTTAAATATTGAATACACAAATTATTCAATATCACTGAACATGATCCTACACCCCAACCCACTGATGATGGGGAGCCTTTCATAAAACGAATAAAACAGAATTTACGTCTTCAAACGATAGAACTTTTTATTCGAAATATGGGACGCAAATGTAATTAAAATTGTAGAAAATATCTCAGAAACTATACAAAGTGTTCCTTTATTCAAGATCCCATAAATGCTAAGCTGAGCAAAAAAAATGCTAAAGCTGTTTTAGCTAATCTTCTTGGCCCGACTTCAATTAAGTCATACAGTCATTTTACATATGGAAGTTGTGAAGGTTGTTGGTTGAAAAATTATCGATTACCAAATATTAGCGCACATCAGCTATTAAATCGAAATTCATTCGTTCAGGAACACTTGACTACCTTTGATTAAATTGTTACAAATCACAATAGAAAAAAAAGGAAGGACCACTAAGCAGCTGTAGAAAATTCCAATTTGTCGAACATTCCGTTTAATTTGAACGTCCAACTGGTTATTCATTAAATGAACCATCGAAAGCCCTGGACGGAAACTCATTACGTAATAATAATAATTCATTTATTAATTAATTTTATAAAGGTTTCCTAAATGCTTTTCCTGCATATCTCACGTTCGGTCCCAACTCCTCCTCGATTCTAAGTATTTGATTATATTTTGCTAAACGTTCGGATCTGCAAGGCGCGCCTGTCTTTATCTGACCTGTAGATAAACCCACTACCAAGTCGGCTATAAAAGTATCTTCGGTTTCACCAGATCTGGAATTCAGAAATCCTTTCATTAAAGTTACTTTTCGTCATCGGCCGCAAACAATTTTTAAGCAAATGCATTTTCTCAAATAATGTAATACATAGCTTAAGTCCTTGTTTAATTATTGCTCACCTCGAATTATTAAGTTAAATCTATAATATATATAAAGCTACAAATTTAGAAAGCAATTATAATTATTAAGAAATATTCATATGCACAATAAAGAAATTAATTGAAAGCTCTAGAAGTGGTCAAGTAACGTACTAATTGCTACGCACACAGAAAATTCGTAAGTTCTGTATAACAATTTAATTCAATAATAATTCAAAAAGTGGAGTTCGTACGATATAAGGTCAACATCGTCAAGCAAATTTCTCAAATCACCCAACAAACACTACATGCTTATTAATGGTATACAATGGTGTGGAACATAAGTGAAATTTTTGTCTATTGACGAATGTTGGTGAATGTTTATGAAAATGTTTTTTTAATATTTGATCTAAATAAACATATTTCCAAAATTAAGTTAGATTTTTAAAGTATTTGGCAAAGACGTTTGCTGCAACGATGTGAAGTACCTGTTTAAAATTTCAAAAAAAAAATTCTTATGACAGTAAAACATTCATAATAATAAACTTTCGACAATATATTCAGCACACTTGGGTTTAGACCCTTCATAGTACTCGGTTATAGATTACTTAATCTTGAATTTGCGATTAACTTAACTATTTTTATTGAAAAATAATGCCAAGGTATTTTACAAAATGTATAAAACGTTTAACAGAAAACACGATAGAGGAAACAAACCTGTGAGATACCATGGTACCCCAACCATTCTGTTTGGCCAACAAATGAGCCCTGATAGATTCGGTCACAGTACCAATCTGGTTTACTTTCAGCAGTAAACAGTTGCATGCCTTTTTGTCAACGGCCGTCCGAATGCGTTTCGGATTTGTAACGGTGAGATCGTCACCGACAATTTGAATGGTTGTATTGGCAGTTATACTGGCCCAAGCCTCCCAATCGTCTTGGTCGAATGGGTCCTCAATGGAACATACGGGGAAAGATTTTATAAAGTCTTGATAAATCGCAAGCAGTTTGTCAGATTTAATCCAGTTCTTCTTGTCGCTCTTGGGGTTCTTGAAATCCAAGTCGTATAATCCTGTAATAAACGTTCAAACAAAAGTTCAAATAGGACTTAAACGCTGCCAATCAGTATTTGCGCCTTTGGGATGAAATTAAATGATGAAAAGGATGTACAGAGGTAATCAACACCGTTTGTGAGCAAACCTTAAAGAAATAAAAAAAATTCGTAAAAATTGAATTGTACAAAACATCTTGCAAATTATATGAAGTCGAAGAAGAATCAAACAAATAATTCAACTCACTCAATGTAACAAAATAGAAGGAGAGAATATAAAAAAATGCAATGATACATAGGCAACGGAATATGTCACTGCATAGCCAATAATTGCAGATAGAATTAGACTGACTGACTGACAAAATTCCTTCAGAAATATCCAAAGTAATCAACAATTCGCAGAAATCGTTATCCCAACCTCCTTAAATATACGAAAAATTTGAGCAGGAACGTTATCCCGCGACTATTTCACAGTTTAACAGTCAAACGGTAAGAACAGTATAAACATTCATATACTTTGACACGATCGTGTTCGACTTTGAATGTACGGAATGTATGGAAGCTAAGGTGTTATGTGGTCTACGTACTATTATTTAGAACTGAAATGTCGATATCAACGAAACCGTATTAAAAAATATTCTATTCCATTCCAAGTTATAGTCAATAGTCCTTCAATTTTAATACTGGAGGATGAACTCAAAATAGAAAGAGTTTCGAGTAGGCGAGGCTACTCTCTGATGAAAAATCTAAAACTGCATTATCTATTACTACCACGCTATTGAGAGCTATTTCGTCTTTGAACTAATGAAATTCCGCAAATGTCGCTTCATGGTAGTTCAGAGGTCAATAAAATTCGCTGTAATACCACTAAACAGGGTTTATAAATAAAATTCGTGCAATAAAGTCCAAACTAACAAACCATTATTAACTAGACTGTGCATTAACGGAACGCCTAGTGAGCAGGAATTTGACTATTTAATGATTGAGCATTCAAAATATCAGCAGCTATTGACTCTTAACCCTCCACTGGTTAAAAACTTTGCAAGTACTTTCTTATCTGACTTGTCAGACGACTTGTCCTAGGACTCCCGTCTCTTAAAGCGAAACTTGTGTAGTTAGTTGTTCTTTGGACTGCCGACTCCCCATTTGAACTTTCTAAATGCAAGTCATGACAGTAGGGCTCAGACCTACGAGTGCTGTTGTGTAGGTTCGACAAGTCGATGAAGTTAGAGTGGTTTGTAATGCCAGTATTATTTATTGCTAGCACGACCTCTGAAAAATTACGTCAATCTTTGTCAGTCAGTGTCAACATTTCAAACTAAAATTTGGTATTTTTTGTTTCAATAACATGTTCTTCCTTTCAGATCTTTCAATAATCTTTAAATGCACTCTAATTTACTTAAACGATTCTACCACTCAACACACAGATCATACCAAATCTCAACATATTTGTTGGATATGTTAAACTGAGTTTTTAACTAATGACTCTTGCATGTATAAGGTCGTTAATTTTGTAGTATATTTTTCATATGCATTCATGTAGCGTTCTACATTTCACTAGTTCAAGAAGACTAACAGCATCCTGTTAGCGGCGTCCATTGAAAATTTAAATGGAGCAATAAGTCTTAAACTTTGCTGCGGAACGTTCGCATTTGCATTACAACGTCCATCCCTCTTCAAGAGGGACATTAACATACCCACTAAATATTAAAGAATCAACTCGACGCAAGATTTCGGCTTCTTTATTACGCCACCCATCACAATTCTGAGATTAATTTTCACAATATTGCAAAACTGGAAAATTAATGAAGCTCGTTCATTGTCAGCCTAGATGATTCGCATTTCGCTTTTAAACGTTGTAGGACCAATTATGCAGCATTGCATTTTTTTTTCTAAAAGTGATTTTTGCATTCGACTCTACTACAGCAATAAATAAAATAATAACCTCCCGGAAAAATTCTTGATATGGACTTCCCCCATTAAACAAAGATAAGCGAAAGTATTTTGTGGATATTAACTTTATCGAGGTTAAGTTAAAAATCTCCTGGAATATTGAAAGGTAAAAGAACACTTATGAAAAAATTCTGAAGTCACTGTTTTCAAGCAGACGTTGAAAGAATAAGCAACACATATTTTGCACAATAGAATATTACTCAAATTCGAATAACTAGTGTATATCGATATTCCGTGTACGGTCTATAGTCTAGGGCAACTAGAGACATTGGAACATTGATGGTGAAATGAGCTTATCCAATTGCAACTACTTACAAAATTTAATTAATTTAATAGACAGTTTCAATAACTTAATCGTTATTGGTAAATTATGTTTGGGAAACATTCACTTCGGTGAAATTTGGCTATGAATGGCAATAATAGTTAGCACTGTGCAAAACGATGTTTTGGAAAAACGTATTATGATGATAATGATTTGGTTAACTATTTGTGAGCAAATGCTGAAAATGTAAAGTGATTGTTCATGGTAGGTCTCTCATTCAAGCGCCAGTAACTAAGTAACAAACAAAATACCGTGTTTTTACCGTCTTTATAAAATTCTGACGCAGCCACATCCATCCCTATTTCGATCCTGCCAGTATACCCGGCCTTCGCAATAGCTTCATTTAATATGGTCAGCACTTCCTTGTTGTTTTGTATATTTGGCGCGAAACCCCCTTCGTCACCAACCGCAGTAGCATCCAAGCCGTACTTGTCTTTGATCATTTTCTTCAGCATCTGATAAGTTTCGGCGCCCATCTTCATAGCATCGTGGAACGAGGACGCACCGGTTGGCAAAATCATAAACTCCTTTAAGAATAACATACACTGTGTTTTCGTTTTATCATGGAATATTACAGTTAGAAGCAAAAAGAATTAAGCGTACCGTATATCTCATTGAGAGAACTGGTGGAACGGGAACTTGGACAGGATTTACAATTTGAGTTTGGCGAAAGCAAAGTACAATCAGAGCATCCAATAGTTCTCCATTAATAAAAGTAAACATCAGGGAACCAGTATGAAAAATTACTTATAAAAGTGAAAAGAACCGATCTGCATTCTTATAATAAAGAAAATAATAACAGCATGTCACCCTGAGCAGAAACCGTAACCTAAGAAGGAAGTAAAAAGGCATAGAAACTGAGATGTTCCGTGGCCCTGGTCCGACGCCAAAATCACATTAAATGAACCCCCGGCCTTTCTATCACATTTTTACCCACGAAACAATAACGAAACTTACCCTAATTTACTATAATTAAAAGTATTAGCATATTAGCCCATTTGCCCAAGGTGGGAAGCTGTATAGCAGATGAGCACTTGGGTGCTTAAAATATTTATTGACGTAATGGCGCCTTTTTATAATAAAGAATTTAATATAAAATTAATATAGAGTAGTTTGTTTTTTTCTATTCAATTTACTACTCCAATATAGTATAGTACATTGGTGAATAAATGTCGACGTCGACACTTTTTTTTATTGTGGTACTTTTTCTTTAAACTAATTCGAATATGGTTAAAAATTAATCATTTTCTCGAATGCAATACTACACACTTTTCTTATTCTTCTTAAAATCAAACTTTTTAATACTCATAGTTTTTCCGATAAACCAATGTGCAATAAGCTCCATCAAACAAATCTAGAGCACTCAGATAGGACAATGAATTGTATGTTCATTGGTACCTGTATCTATGCATAAAATTTTTGCTTTGCTTTTGTTTTGTTTATTTTTGTATAATATTAAATATAATATATTTCGTTATATAAGACAAGATGTTCTGTTAAGATTCATATTAATTTTAGAATCTATATAATGTTGAATTGAAACTTTTGATTCAAAAATTTGTGTTTTAAGGCTTCAAGGTAGTTTTCGGTGGACTGAAAAAAACTAACTAAACAGATAAAAATCATAGCCTAGAGTGTTTTCAAAATTAAAATTTATTGTCCTGTAAGAGTTTTTATTGTTTCATATTCCGCATCTGCAATTCAAAATTTGAATTTTGAACTGACTTTTATATTTTTACTTTCAGTTCCAATTTCATCAATGGGATGTCACAAAATCGCTTTTTCCTATTCGTATATCAGCAACTATAAGACATAAATCACTTAAATCTTAAAAAAAAACAATTTTGAAATTGAGAAAATTCGTAGCATTTTTCTAAGATATCCAGAAGAAAGCAAAAATCGCCATTTCTTTTATATTTTTTCCTAAACTCACGCAGAAAACAGATGAAGCAGATTCCTATTTTAAAAAATGGTGGCTTTATATGTCACCAACATGAAAAGTCCGATTTCAAATTTATTCTTGTAGAAAGTTTGTCTTATTTATTAATATCTCATAAAATAAACTCAAGACACAATAAGAAAGGCATATGCCTTTTTGTTTTTTTTTTGGAATTAATAAAATGTGTTTCATTTCAAAAGGGCTTAGAAAGTTACTTATCTGATACAGCTACTTAAATCACAAGCGAGGATTCAATTTCTAACACCCGGTATATTTGCAACGTGAATTGTAGCAGCAGCACATATGAAAATGAAAATATCTCGCGTATAACCAAAATATTTACCTGCATCGCCAACTTGTTTCCCGCGTGCGATCCGCCATTGATGACATTCAGTGCGGGTACCGGTAATACCAACTCCTTCACCCCTGCCAAATCCGCTATATGTCTGTACAATGGAAGACCTCTTTTCGCCGCACCAGCTTTACAAACAGCTAGCGACACCCCTAAGATAGAATTAGCCCCCAAATTTGCTTTGTTGTCAGTTCCATCGAGTTTAATCATGAACTCGTCAATTTCTTCCTGTTGCATGACATCAAAATTTTGTTTGACTAATGCCGGTCCGATGATATCGTTCACGTTGCTAACCGCTTTGGAGACACCTTTGCCTTGGAATTCCGTCGGGACATTGTCTCGAAGTTCTAAGGCTTCGTGAATACCTAGTGGAAAAGATCATTTTAATTATTTTGGATATATGGAAAGTCCGTAGAAATTGTGCATTATACGACAAGAATCTAGGGATGGGGGAAGAAAAAATATTCAACACAACTTGTGAGAAACAAAATTACTAAGACATAGACTTTTCTCGAAGTAGCTTTAAACTAGTCTCATTCAAGAACTTCTTAATACTCCGTTGATATTTACTTAACAGAATGGACCCTTAATTAGTAACATTGCATATTTACAATCCATGTGGAAAAATGAAAGTTTAATTTTCAACACGCCACTCTAAAATATAAATTGTGCGATAACGTCTCACATTGCCCTACTTTCCGCTACTGAAAGAACCATAACGCTGCAGTTACTAAAAACTTACTCCTAAAAGCTAATGTAACCTTTCTACCGTGGTCCATAAGATCACCAGAGTTATCGCTAATTGAACATATACAGGATATGATAGGTAAAGTCACAGCTATTCTTGAAGAATTTTCCTTCATCTAATTCGCGGACGCGCAACCCAATCTTGAATTTTTAAGAATTCTTCTCAATGAATTTGTTTGAAAATATAATCGGTTGTTGAATCACGTTTATCCCAAGTACTTCAAAAGATATTAATATAAAATACATTCACATTTACTTGGTGCTACAATTCCTATGCCAGGCAAATGCGAAATATTTACATTTAAATTCGTATTACAAAGATCCTTATTTTATTGCTCCCTTCACATATGCAGATTGAATTTTCTGTGAAAGGGAAAATACGCCTTTTTCTCTCCCAGAAAAGTTTACCCGTGCTTGCTCCAGAAGGAACGGCCGCTCGAAATATCCCCAAATTAGTAAACAGGTCCACTTCGACCGTCGGGTTCCCGCGGGAATCGAAAATAGTTCTCGCTCTCACGTCGTAAATAGGTTTAGAGCCTGCTTCTCGTTTGCATTCATCTTTGGTTTTACATGCCATTTTGAGTTGCGGTATTACTTTGCAAACACGGAAATTTTAAGACGCATCTGTTCCAAAATGTGACACTTACGTGTTTATGACTTTTTAGATAATATAGTTGTTGATCTGCCAAGTCGCAAAAAATATCTGGTGTCTAACAAAGACATACCAGAGTTCGCAAAGGCATTTATTAACTAAATTTTGGACTATATGCTGTAAAAGTAAATATTGAAACCTGCCAATAAAAAATATTTCGAACAATTTCCCTTGATCGATAACCTCAAAAGATTTTTGTTCATACTCGACATATATATACATATTTGATGAGAATGAAATAAAATTAGATACTACCTCGTCGAATAAATATGTTCTGATGAATAATTTCTTCAATTCCTCCTACTAAATACGCTCTTACCAGTACTAGCCCCGGATGGTACAGCAGCTCTAAATAATCCTAACTCGCTAATAAGATCAACTTCTACAGTAGGATTTCCGCGTGAGTCAAAAATCGTTCTAGCAAATATACTTCGGATAGATTTAGAAGTTTTTCCAGCATTTTCGCACCTCCTCTGACAGGACATTTTCAGCACGGTTGACAGTGAAAGATTTCGATTTTTATTGAAATTAAGTTAAATTTTTCAAGTCTAACCTGTCTATTAAAAGTCGCTGAAAGGAAACAAAAAAATGTCTACTGAAGAAACCTACATCCGAATGAAACAACAATGAAACAAGAGAAGCAAGAAGCTTCAATTTATAAATATTTGATGCCACTGATATGTGTATATCAGTTTACTAAACAGATATAGGGAAGTATTGCACACAAAAAATGTAATAATATCCTCCTAATCGTTTAAACAAGCGGCGACGTTCAACAGTTCAAAGGATTTTAGATCGATAGATCGTCATCGCATGTATAAACCAGCAAATAATCAGAACGTTTTCTGAAGAAGACAATAACATTGAAGAAACTTTGATCGAATCCTATGCAGCCATAAATTTTATTAAAATAGATGTTAGACAATAAATAATGATTATAATTTAGCTATTTATTAGATAATGATTAATTACACAAGAAAAATTAGCAGCATATAATCAGTCATACCAGATTTTGATTGTATCTAGGGCGTAAAAGTAATTTAAAACGGTGGTTGATAGCGAATTGAAATGAAATGAATTTTAAAATTATTCATTATAGACCCTGCATATTGAAATTAGATTATGAGGCATGTGCAAATGCGGAGCGGAATGCAAATTTTGTTCTCTGTTTACTAAAACTAATGTAATTTTTTTGTAAGTTATGTAGTTTGCCAACTACAAAAATGGAACCGCAAACGCTTGTGTCTATACCTCAAAAGTAGGTCAGGTGAGGGTAATTCCCCAGCACGACATGAGTTCCTGAAATTTAGTAACCTTGTAGCTGTCCAAATATATTTAACCGAATTTAATAGAAACGACCAACTATGCGACCAGTATCACGATTGGTTTCGAATGTTTGCTACACCTTTCAATTCTGTGCATTTTAAACATAAACAAATTTTTCCTTGGCAAACTGTTTTTACACCTTTTAGGGTCTATGTTGCTTAATATGCTATTTTCATATTAGAAACCATGAGTCACGAGTTTGTTTTGGCACGGCTGCAGCGCAAAGTTACAGAAGAAATTTATCAAAGTTTTGCTACTATGTTTTACCATGGTCCATTAGTTTTTGGGTACAATACCAGTGACAAGACTCTCAGAACTAACAAGCATCAAATCGACCGCCATTTATCTTTATTCCTCCATTCATCTTCTTTAACTGCTCTGACCTTCATTATATTTCTTATACCATCGGTCCATGAGGTCTTCCTTTTTTCTTTCTGTTTTTGGGGATATATTTTAGTCCTCTTTTTGGTAATCTCTCATCGTTCATTCTCTGTACGTGCCCATACCATATAAGGTGTCTAGTTTCTATTCGGTCAGTGCTGGTATGTATTCTCCCTGTTCTTCTTCGTATTTCTTCATTCCTGATGTATTCTACTCTCGACACTTGGCATGCTCTTCTCAAGAAATCCATTTCTACTGTGTCGATAACTTTCTTGTCGTGCGTCGTCATTTGCCAGTATTCTGCGCCGTACGAAGATGGGTTCCACAACTGCTTCATATATTCTAATTTTCATACATACATACATATATAGTTCAGGATCTTCATCTTCGTGTTTTCCCCCTACAGTCTTCCGCATATTCGGTCCCCAATTCTCATAGTGTTCTTTCAGTTTTCTCAGCATGTAATCTGCGTCGTCTTCATCACAAGCTATAATCACTTGATCGTCTGCAAAAAGAGGCTCGTCAAATATTTGTCATCTAAATCTACCCCCATATTTGCCATTTTTTCCCTCCACTCTCTTGGGGGTTCCTGAATATATATTTCGAATAGAGTAGAGGACATGCTACAGCCTTGTTTTAATCCTTTGTTCACTGAAAAACGGTTCGATCTATGTACACCCGTCGCATCTTTATAAAGGTTCTAGATAGCTCTCATATATACATTGTTGAGTCCGGTTGTCATTAATACTTCAAACATTTTCTTCAAGGGTACCGTGGCGTATGCTTTTTCAAGATCAAGAGTTCAGTTGTGAGCTCTACATTTTTCCATTACTTGTCGCAAGACAAATATATTATCTATACAGGATCTTCCCGTTAGAAAACCGCTTCGTTCTTCTATTTCTTGGAAGTTGTCTTCTATTCTTGTTTTAAGTATTCGACTGTACACCTCCCCATTGAGCTAATAACCGTTATGCCTCTTTAATTATGACACACCTTTTATCTCCTTTTTATATATAGAACTAATATATCCTAAATTCCAGTCCTCGGGTAATTGATCTCCGTGTATACATTTATTGAATAGTTTCTAATAGTTCTGGTGCATTCTTTATTAGCTCTATGGGCATGTCTCCGGGTCCAGCGGCTTTTTTATTTTTCGATTCCTTTAGGGCTTTATTGATTTCAGTTATTGTGATTTTATGTACATGATCGTCTATGATTTTGTCTATATCGTCCATTTGGAATTCTATTTTCAGTTAGTAGCGTTTTATAATACATTCGATATGTTTCCACTCCAATTAGGTTAAATTTACTAGTTTCCTTTGTACTTTTTCTTAGATTCTTTATTGTTATATTATGCTTCCGATACTCTTGTGCTGGCCGTGAATCTACCTAATTCTTCGCATGTCCTTTCCCAGCGTTCATTTTTACTTCTTCCAACTAGTCTTTTTGCTTCTTTATTTAGTTCTGCACTGCACTGCAACTGTCTACTGTGATAACTTGCATTGTCCATTACGATTACGCTATTATGTGGAATGTTTGGAACTAGTTTGTTTTGAAACCAACTTTCAAATAAATCAGCTGTGGTGTCTTTATGGTAATCCACCTATCTATCTTCATCCCTTTTAGTATTTAGCCAGTGGTGATATGCCTTCTTCTTCTCTTTAATTATATCCTCCACTTATTTTGTCCACCATTCTGGGTTGTTCTGCTGTTTCCTTTTGCGGCCCAAGGCTTCCTCTGCTGCCTCGTGTATATATCTTTTTATGTCATTGTATAGTTCTCTCGCTCTCTGTTCCTTTCTTACTCGTTGTAGTTTGTTAGCTAACCTTACTTTGTATTAAAATTTTGTAGATTCATCTCAAAAACTGTCTGTTATATCTTCGTTCGAATTGTGTGTTATTATTTTTTTTCTTCGTCCTCTTTTTTTATGTTGATTTTTCTTCTGTAATTTACTACTAGTCTTGTTACTACTAAGTGATGATCTGAGCCGCATTCCACATCCCGATAGACCCTTACGTCCAGGTTATTTATTCTAGATTTTTGTTTCATAATTATGTAATGAATTATTGAGGAAAGCCCTCTAGTAGGTTGTGTCCATGTGAACGTGTGGATGTTTTCATGAGGAAAGAAGCCATTCATAATCTTCAACGACACCATATCTGCTGTTGCATCGCCCTCCTTGCTGCCTGTACGTGAATTTAGATCTCCCATAATAACTATTTCATTATCTTCCTTGATGTTCATTAATGTATCGTTAAGTTTTTCATAAAACTCGTCTTTATTTTGTGTGCCAGCATCTTCACTAAGGGCATATACTGGCGAGGATCATAATGTAATGTCCATTTATTTGTAATTGTAATTTTAATATTTGCTCATCTATTTCTTCCCAGGCCTTAATATTTTTTTGAGTTTCTTGTGTACTACGATAGATACTCCCCTTTTAGCTATAGCATGTTTTTCCACTCCACTGTAGACCAGGGCTAAATCTGTTTGAAAGTAGATCTATTTCTGGTGATGTGCCATTTGAAAAATAAGGGCATTATATTGTTATAAATTTATGCACTCAATCCCCATAATTTCTGGTGAGGTGGCATGCGTTTGAAATATAAGGCCATTATATTTTTATAAATTTATGCACTCAATCCCCATATTTGAGAAGAATTTCTGAGCTGAGCTGTTAAATAAAAAATATATATTTCAAGCAAAACAATGCCCGTTTGCAGTAGGTAGGTTTCGAACCTACGCTGAAATAGAGAATCCGATTTCTAGACAGACGCCTTAATTCTGGTGATGTGCCATTTGAAATATAAGGGCATTATATTGTTATAAATTTATGCACTCAATCCCCATAATTGACAAAATTTTCTGGGCTGAGCTGCTTATTACAAAAATTATATTTCAAGCAAAACAATGGTCGTTTGCAGCAGGTAAGTTTCGAACCTACGCTGCCATGGAGAATCTGATTTCTGGTCAGACGCCTCAACCGACAGACCAGGGCTAAATCTGTTTGAAAGTCGAACTATTTCTGGTGATGTGGCATGCGTTTGAAATATAAGGCCATTATATTTTTATAAATTTATGCACTCAATCCCCATATTTGAGAAGAATTTCTGAGCTGAGCAATGGCCGTTTGCAGTAGGTAGGTTTCGAACCTACGCTGCCATAGAGAATCTGATTTCTAGTCAGATGCCTTAACCGACAGCCCAGGGCTAAATCTGTTTGAAAGTAGAACTATTTCTGGTGATGTGCCATATGAAATATAAGGGCATTACATTGTTATAGA